CATAATTATATCGTAACACATGAAAAAAATAACAGAAAGAAATTTTTTCATGATCATATGAGTTTGCCGGATAACATTAATTATGAGGAGGAAACTCATAAAAATCCATTAAAATGTTATGGAATTTGGGTACATATAATTATGAATGAATTGAATATATTCTTTTACTATTTTACTTGACATGTAGTATTAATTCTTTTTTTAATTAGGATCATGCACCTGGATCTCTTATCGTTGTTGAAGCAAGTGGTATAATTACAAATATGGACAATGAGCCTTTGAATTTTACTTTGGGAAGACATTTGGGAAAAGTTAATAAAGGATTCGTAATTGCACATGCTAAAATACATAGACAAGTGCTTGAAGCCGTTCAGAAAGTTATTTACAAAAAATAGTGAACTTATTGTCGATAACTTCAATGTGGAATCATGACTATCTATTTTACTCATATACATAGTTTTACAGTACGAAGTTTTTTATTTGTATATCTTATTCAATAAGTAATAAATTGCTATTCAAAAGATTATTCTAAACAAAGTTTTACACAAATCCAAAAAAAAAAAAAATGATTAAAATATTTCTCTGAATCAAATCAAATTCTAAATTCAAATTATTCAGTTTACAATTTGAGTTTATTCGAAATATTCTAATTTAGATCATCGAAATCTAGCTTGTATATGTGTTGTGCTTAGGGTTCCATCTTACCGCTACTACAACTTCGGACATCTAACCAAAATTAAGCCATTGATATTATATCTAGCTCTAGGCAGTGAATGATTGAATCAACAAATTCCTGGCACCATTTGTTTTTAAATTTTAAGTTTTCGATGAACTATTTTTTCATTTATAAATTTTCTTTATTAAAAATCAAAATCAGATCATTAAATAAACAAGAATATTAGAAATTTTTTATATGCTTGGTAATACTCTATTAAAAAAAACTGATATTGATTAATGCTCAGTTATTACTATTAATATTTTTATTTCTATTAATGATTATTTTTTATTAAATTTTAGTATAATAAATTTAAAAATATTTTTATATAATTAGTTAAGATAATGTTATACTTAAAAACTTTCCAATATTTACTACATTAATGTCTAAGTGCTTTTATTGTAAAATATTAATAATTTTTATTTATTATTTATTTATCTTTTTTTATATAACTAAAATGTAAAAGATATCTAATTACATCAATAAAGGACAATAAACCTGAAACTAAATATAATAATAATCATAAGATTTACTAGATGATGTATACTTTATAATTTTTTTATTTTATTTTTAAATACTTTAACTAGGCATATAGGTATATGGTAATTTAATTAATTTTAACAAAAGAAAATGAAGCAATTTGATGTTCTTTGCTTTTATGATCTAAATGAATATTAAAAAAAATCTTTTAACTTATTATATTAACAGTTAAAGTTTACAAAATTTATGTGTAATAATAGTATATTATTGCATGACTAAAATATGAATGACAATTTAATTTTCAGTATTATGAATAGCTAATGCAAACCTAACCTTTCCATGTGACTCATAAAAAAGGCTCAGAATCGATAAAGAGAATTATGAAGTTAAGCTTTTTTTATTAATAAATTACTATGAACTTATAACTATAATTTTTAACAAGCATTAATTAAACATTACACCATGTTTATAAAGCTTTAATTTTAAAATTATTTTATTTCATAGCTAGTTGTAAACCCATGCAATAATGTACAGAAATAAATTTATAAAAATTATACTATATACAGTAATACTTATTTAATTATAATTTATTTTTAATATACAAAAAAGAAAATAGAGTTAAATTATTTTAAAATAAAGCAAATTGTTTAAAGGGAGTATTCTATATTATAATACACTGGTGCACTACATATCAGTTCTAGTGAGAAATCGTTTGGTGCTTTCTTTGTGATCTTACAAATTATTTTGTGCCAGTATATTTTAATTCATTACTTGTGTTATTTCATAGTACTATGGCTTTTTGACAAGGTAATTTCAACCGGTCTATAACAACCCTAGCGTTGTTCAGAAAAATTGATCTGATTTATTTTTGCTGGCATACATGTAATTTCTGATACTAATCTCTGAATAAATTATGAACGTTAATCAATGAAAATAACAAATTGATTTCTTTTTATGTTTGCTTTTTTTAGCGGGTGCACTAGCTAGAGTTTCGTCTTTTTGAGCATAAGGTTACGTCATTTTAAGTTTAAAGATTCGTCTTTGCCCGAAGAATTTGGGGTTTGACTTTCGCCAGAGGTTTCGTCTTTTGGGGGTTTAGCTTTCGTAATCATGCGAAAAATGTTCGTCTAACAACCATAAGCCGGACAGATCTGCCAGTTACATGTGATTTTGGATCAGATAAGGGCAAATATTAATTGAAATGTTTTTTTACAATCATTATCATTATGATAAATGTAGGTCTTACTACTTTTTTTTCATCCGTTTGTAAATTTTTTTTTTTTTAATGATAAATAAAAAATTTCAAATTTATATTAGTTCAGATAATGAGTTATCGTTTCCTATAGGGCTGTTAATTGATCCGGTCCGGACTGACCCATCCCAGGATCGGGTCAGTCCAGTCCTCTTTAGGATGGATCAAGAGGACTATCGGTCCAATTTATACATATCCTAGCACAGATTCTACAGATTCAGCAGATGATAGAAATATAAACTACTCTCATCTATATCCACCTGAATTTTTAAGATCTTTAAAAATTTCTAGTCTTTCTTCTGGTGAATTAACATTAAAAGCTAGTATACCTATTATGCTTTTATGAAACTTAAATCCAGCAGAAGGACTTTGTAATGGAACATGTTTAATTTGTCGAGCTCTTTATAGTAGAGTAATTATTGCTAAAATTATTACAGGATCTTATATTGTTAGTAAGTATTTATACCACAAATATCATTATCACCTTCTGATACTGCTTTGCCTTTTATTT